GCTGCTTCTATTCAACATAGTACTGGAAGTTCTAGCCAGAGTAATTATGCAAGAGAAAGAAATATGAGAGGTCTTCAGAGAGTTCATGGAAAGATTTGTATTATCTTTTAATTCAAATTTTCCAAGAAATTTTTGAAGTACCCTCCTAAAAGTCATCCAAATTGCAAAGAAAAAAGTTAAATCGTCCCTGTTTGCTGAGGATATGATCTCATATATAGAAAACCCTAAAGATTTCACCAAAAAAGCTGTTAGACTAATAAAAAAATTCAATAAAATTGCAGAATACAACATGAACACAGAAAAATCAGTAGCATCTTTATACACCAACAATGAACTATCCAGAAAAGAAATAAAAAAACAATTCCATGGCTGGCCAGTTAGCTCATTCAGTTAGAGTGAGATGCTGATAACACCAAGGACAAGGGTTCAGATTCCACCCTCCTCCCCCCAAAATCAAGGAGATAAAAGACCTGTACACTGAAAACTATAAAACATTGATGATAGAAACTGAAGAAGGCATAAATAAATGAAAAGACATACTGTGTTCATAGATCTGAAGAAATAATATTATTAAAATGTCTGTACTACCCAAAACGATCTATAAATACAATGCAATCTCTGTCAAAATTCCAATGATGTTTTTCCCCAGAAACAGAAAAAGCAATCCTAATATTCACATGAAACCAAAAAAGACACCAAATAGCCAAATAAATTTTGAGAAAAAGAGCAAAGCTGGAGGTATCACACTACCTTACTTTAAATTCTACTATAAAGTTATAGTAACTAAAACAGAGTGGCACTGGCATAAAAACAGAGACATAGGCCAATAGAACAGAATAGAGAGCCCAGAAATAAATCTTCACATTTTTGATAAATTGATGTTCAATAAAGTTGCCATGAACACACAACGGTGAAAGGCAATCTCTTTAATAAATAGTGTTGGAACAACTGGGACATAGGCCAATAGAACAGAATAGAGAGCCCAGAAATAAATCTTCACATTTTTGATAAATTGGTGTTCAATAAAGTTGCCATGAACACACAACGGTGAAAGGCAATCTCTTTAATAAATAGTGTTGGAACAACTGGATATCTACATGCAGAAGAATGTAATCAGAATCTTATCTTATATGATATATAAAAATAAACTCAAAATGGATTAAAGACTTAAACATAAGACCTGATAGTGTGAAACTACTAGAAGAAAACATAGGGGAAAAACTCCATGACATTGGTCTGGGCAATGATTCTTTGGATATCATCCCCAAAGCACAGGCAACAGAAATGAAAATAGACAAATGGGATTACATCAAACTACATCCAAGGAAACAGAGTGAAGAGACAACCTATGGAATGGGAGAAAATATTTACAAAGTATACATCTAAGGGGTTAGTATCCAAAATGTGTAAAGAACTCAAACAACTCAATAGCAAGAAAACAAATAACCCAATTAAAAAATAGGCAAAGGATCTGCATATACATTTCTCAAAAGAAGATATACAAACAGCCAACAAGGTAAAGAAGAAAAAGCTCAACATCACTAAACATTAGTGAAATGCAAATTAAAACCACAGTGAGGTATCACCTCACATCTGTTAAAGTGACTATTACCAAAAACACAGAAGAGAGCAAGTTGGCAGGGATGTAGAGAAAAGGGAACACTTGCACACTGTTGGTGGGAATGCAGATTAGTACATTATGGAAAACAGTATGGAGGTTCCTCAAAAAATTAAAAATACAACTACCATATGATCCAGCAATCCTACTGCTGGGTATATACCAAAAGGAAATGAAATCAGTGTATCAAAGAGGTATCTGCACCCCTATGTTCATTGCAGCACTATTCATAATAGCCAAGATATGAAGTCAGCCTAAATGTCCATCAGCGGATGAATGGATAAAGAAAATGTGGTATATATACACAATGGAATACTACTCAGTCATAAAAAGAAGGAAATTCTGTCACTTGAAACAACATGGATGAACCTGGAAGACAGTAGGTTAAGTGAAATAGACCAGACACAGAAAGACAAATACCACATGATTTCATATATATGTGGAATCTAAAAAAAATTGAACTCATAAAAGTAAAGAGTAGAATGGGGAGGGTGCCAGGGGGTGAGAAGGGGGTTAGGGAAATATTGGTCAAATGACAAAATTTCAGATAGGAGTAGAAAGTTCAAGAGATCTATTGCATAACTTTGTCACTATAGTTAATAACAATGTTTTGTATTCTTGAAAATTACTAAGGGGATTTCAAGATTTAAGGGTAGATTTCAAGATTTTAATTTTTTCTCAGCACAAAAAATAAGTATGTGAGCTAATGTGTATGTTAATTTTCTTGATTTACTCATTCCACAATGTAGACATATTTTAAAACATCATGTTGAATGCAATAGGTATATACAATTTTTAATTGTCAATTAAAATAAATAAAATTCTTTAAAAAAGGAAGAGGAAATTCGGATACACAAAGAGATACCAGAGATGCCTGTGCACAGGGAAAGGACCATGTGAGGATGTGGTGAGAAGGCAGCCATCTGCAGGCTCAGGAGAGAGGCCTCAGGAGAAACCAAACCTGCTGACACCTTGATCTTGGACTTTTAGCCCCCAGAACTGTTAGAAAATATATTTCTGTCATTTAAGCTATCCAGTCTGTCATATATTATTATGGTAGTCGTAGAAAATGAATACAGATATTGAATAGCTATTCTTCAACCTTATCTTTAGCAGCTAGGGGTGGACATTTAACAAGTGTGCCTAGTCCAGGGCCTGGCATACACCAGACCTGCTCAGTCCAATGCAGGCAGGAGCCACTGGCCACTTGTAACTATTGTGCACTTGAAGTATGGCTAATCCAAATTGAGTTGTGCTGTATGTGTAAAATACACTCCAGATTTTTGAAAATTTAGTATAGAAAAAGCAAAACATTTTATTAATAAATTTTTATATTGATTATTTACTTTATTTCTATTGATTATTACTGATTGTATATTTTGGATATTTGCAGTTAAATAAAATTTGCCATTAAAATTAAGCTCACCTGCTTTTTACTTTAATGTGCTACTAGAAAATTTCAAATTACATGTGCACTTTGCATTACGTTTCTGTTAGACAGCATTGTACTAGATGTCTAAAAAAGTCTTTTGAGTGGTGAGAACCTCTTGCACTGTCATTTTTTTCATGCCTAGGACCTGGGGTTAGGTAGACTATAAAATTCTTCCCCTAGCAGAAGTAAAGTTCTTCCCCTAGCAGCAATAAATGGGTATTAGCAATCTAAAGAAGAAGAGATATATCACAGGTGAAGCATAGAAAGACAGCAAAACTTCCTGGGGTTTCTTTATTTGAGCAAATCTATGCAGTAATAATTACCAACAAAAGAACTACGAGTGGTGATGGCAGTTTATACAATGGGGAAATGCAGACATAGAGGTTGAGAATTCTTTGCAATTAATCACATCAGCTCTGGACTGTAACCTAGTGTTTAGGACTCTTTGCTGCAGGCAACAGAAACCATCTGTGGCAAAGCTGAGCCAACAATGAACGGCTTAGAAAGAAATCAGGACTTGGCACAGAATTGATGCAGAGACTTCAGAACCAGGCTTATAAAACAGGCTACAGCCAAAGGACCAAAAGACAGCCAGGTCACCCTGCCTGAGCATTCAGGTTAGGATGGCACTGCTGACTCCACTGCTCTGGGTGCTTGAGGCCAGCTCTGATAGAGCCTCTATGCTACTGCCTCCTCTGGACTCTGACGTGGCTCTGGTATGATTTCTCAGTTGTGCTTATATCCAGTCACTCTTTCAAGCTCAAAGCTGAAGGTTTGAGGAACTGGTGAGGGAGTCTAGTCACTGTCAGAGTCCATGCTGCCTGTGTTACAGAACCTTAGTGAGTTCACTCCACCTGCGTGCAGCCCAGTCAATAAATCTGTACACTGAGATTTGTAGCAGGAGAGATTAGCTTTTATTGGGAAGCACGAACTAAGAAGAACAGTTAATGCTGTAAAGATCTGAACTGCTTGAAGGCTCAGAATCATAAGCATTTATAGGGCAAAATTTTGGGTAAAGGTCTTGCGGGTCATGCAGAATTTTGATTGGCTTCAGGGTGAAGTCAGCATAGCTTCACTGATGTTTTCCTTGGCTTCTCGGGGTCTGGGTGGTATGTGTTTCTCTGCAAGGCTACAGCTGCAGGTGTTCTGAAAGACAGCTAGATATTTACATGAATAATGTTATTCTTCTCTGTTGCCAAGGATCAAAATATCTAGTGACTGTGAGAGTAGAAAGAGGACTCAAAAAAATAGGTGCTAATTCAGTCTGACGCTCATCTTTATTGTTAAGCAAGTGTATTCCTATTTCTTAGAATTCGAACAGCAAGTTTGAGGCTTGTCTTACAAACCTCTTCTAGAGCTGAAGGCTGCTCAAGGCCTAGAGGAGACTCCAATGTGGGGTCCTGCTGGTTACAGCTCCATTTTACTGGGGACCTGAAGAGGGAGGATCTAGCTCCTTCACTCCTGTAGCAGGAAGAATTCTGCCTCCCATCAAAACTCTCGTCATGGAGAATTAGACACATTGGGAACAAGTTTGGATGATTGTACACACAAAAAGCAACAAAAATCTCAGCAAAAACAAACAAAAAAACCAAAGGGAACAAGTTTGGATGATTGTACACACAAAAAGCAACAAAAATCTCAGCAAAAACAAACAAACAAACCCGGTTAGCTCACTTGGGAGAGCGTGGTGCTGACACCACCAAGTCAAGGGTTAAAATCCCCTTAGTGGTCATTTTTTAAAAAACAAACAAACAAAAAATCAAAAAACCCAGCCCAATACAGGGACAGAAATAATCCATTTTCCCAGCATTGTCTGTTGTGTGGAGAGGTGTAAACTCAAAAGTTATACTATAGTTAAATCTGTATGTAATTTATGTAATTATTTATGTAATAAGCGTGCCTATAGCACATAGTATGTGCTGGTCACTCTCCAAAGTGCTATATGAATATTAACTCAGCTAATCTTCATATCAGTGCATCACCTTTATCATCTCTATTTAATGGATGGGTAAACTGAAGTCCGAAAAAATGAAGTAACTTGGCCAAAATCACATAGCTAATGGGTGGTTGGAGAAGGATTTGAAGCCAAGCAGCCTGGAGCTCCAGGGCCAATATTCTAACAACCACACGACATTGCTCCTTGCTATAGAAGCTTTTTGTTTGTAGTTATTCTTAAGAAAATGTTCAGTTAGCAACATATAACTTATTCCATTAGGAGGATTCTGTTCTCTAAACTATTTTCATTGACTTTTCATAAAGTCCTGAGTTAACAGAAGCCCTTCACATATTTTAGAGAGAAGTCGCTGAACAGGGTGATGTAATTAATAATTGCAGTCTAGAAACTTACATCCATAGTTAAGAAACCAGCTAAACAGCAGATGTCACAGGATAGTGAAGAGAAAATACTTTTTGGGGGATCAGCAAACAATACTCCAAAGTGGAGGTTTCAGAAGCAGCTTCAAAAGCAAATTTTTTCCTCTGAACTTCTCTTGCCCTCCTGTGTTTTTTTTTTTTTAAGTTCAATTCAACCACTATATATTAAGTACCTACCATAGGTTGGAAATTGTGCTTAGGAAGTCAAAGAGAAAGACTTGGCCTCTGCCCTTGAATTTCTGACAGCCTAATTCAGATTTCTAAAAGTAAAGCCTTTTCCTCATGTGAGACAACAGACTGCTATCAGAGTTTATCAATAAATTTTCATTAAGAAGCAAGATCTCTCAATCTCTCATCTTTCTCAAGAGACCATCCGTGATTTTCATCACATTTTTTACTTTTGAAAAATGAAAGATTTGCTGTGAGTGTAGTTGTGATATTCAGAAACACTTCTCATTTAAGAAAAAAAATCTGTCATTACTTTTTGAACTCACTTGGAACTTGAGAACTGAGATCCTTCTTTTTCTTAATGTCTTGTTTATCTCACTGACCCTGAAACCACAGATGCAGAGGAAGCTGAGCTCCTGACCACTTGTCTGTTAACTGCCATTTCCCTTTCTCTCATATCTTGAGCAAATCTGAGTGCTGTGCTAGCACACCAAGGATCTCTTTCTCAGTTTACATTTATTGCCTTTTTTTTTTTTTTTGTCTTTTCTCGTGTCCGGCAACGGATCGCAACCCTCAGTGTCGAGCTCGTACTGGACCGGGACCGGCAACGGGATTGAAACCCTCGGTGTTGCTCCCGCACCTCGCTCAGCCAGTGAGCGGGAACTGGTCTGTATGTGGGATCCGAACCCTTGGCGGGAGCGCCGCCGTGCTCCCAAGCGGCGCACTGTAGCAGTGCGCCACCGGGCCGGCCCCATTTATTGCCTTTTTATTAGAAACTTTCTTGCCTAGTGGTCTCCTGAATATAGATTAGAAATCAGCAACGACAAATGTTTTCTCTGGTAAGCAATTGCTTTGGTACATGAACTAACAGGAACTAGTGGTACTTCCTGAGAATGAGGCCCTCTTTTTCTGTTAAAGATTCTATGTTTTCTCTTCTTTAGATCTCATGCACTGCACAAATATTTGTACAATGTATGATGATGTGTTACAGGAGGACGTATGCTGGGTATTGGTTTCAACCTCCTAATTTCATGTGTATGGTACTTTCCTCCATTAATGCCTTGGTACTTCCCATCTAGTCACATTATTAAGTGGTCCTTATGTGCTCTATGCATATCACAGATGAAACTGAGCAGGTGTCTTCTCCTTGATAAAGCCCCTCAAAAATTTAGATGTAAGTGACCTGTGGCCTTGGTCCCCCAAATTAAAGTGATTTTAAATCTGGGAACTGGGCTCTCCAATTAACAATTAGAGGGCTGAATTTTACAACTAATGATCAAGGACTGGAGAACATAGAAACAGCAGAGCACATGGGATATAGCCTTAGCAATAAGGAGGAAGCCACTGGACTCCTAGGATCAAAGACACTATCTTGACATGTATCCTTGAGATGTTTTTACAGGAAATGCGACCCAAGTTTTCCCACCAGATGAAAATGCTGACCAAATGTGGACTACAAGGACACCAGACTGATTGGAGCTGGAAGATGATGGACAGGGTCCCAGGGCTCTTCCTTTGTCTTCTGAAATTCAACCAATCAGAACAATCCACAGGCTATTCACCCAGCCCTAACCCCAATCCACAAGTTTATCCTTTAAAAATCCTTGCTTATAAATTGTTGAGGAGCTTGTGTTTTTTGCAGCATTAGGTGCCCCTGCTCCAATTACTTGGCCTTGTATTTAAATATCTAATTTCTCTCACTGCAACACAATGTCAGTGTCTTACTTGCGCTCACGTGAGTAGACCCAGGTTTGGTTCTATAACCCAGATAGAAAATTTCAGGTTTTGTGGAAAGCTTTAACATTCACTTGATTTATCATCCATCTTTTGCATCCATGGGTGTGCCAGCTCATGCTTAAAATACTGTTAGAATGAATGGATGAGAGTGACACTACTAATAATTATGTTGGCACAATAGACGTAAGCTGGGACTGTCTTTGGTAAGCCAGAATAGACCTAGAGTAATTTAAAGAGAGAAAGAACAAACATAGCTACTGTCCATTAAGAACCTAGGGATTATCAGAGGGCCTGATGAGGGTGTTTATGCGATTGCCCAGACAGAGATCGGACCTCCAAGTATAATTGTAGTCCTGAAACAAATTTATTTTTGTGTTTAAAGGTCAAAATAATCAGATTCCAAATAGGACTCTGCAGACAAAACCCCTGGGTCTTCTCCTTGACATTTTGGTGTCTCAGGGGCTTGTATGAACATTGATAACTACTTCCATGAAGACCATGGAGGGAGATTTTGGGACCAGAAAAGCTTTCTCTGCAGTGTCTCAAAGTCTCTTTAATTAGCTCCATTAACAAGGGAATGAGAAATCTCAGGCCAATACTAGATTTGGCATAAATCCCAGGGAAATTCACAACTTTCTTATCAGTTTAGGGTTAGCCACCTGGAATCATCTCAACTGACAGTGGGGGATAATTTACAAGGCTATAGGGGAGAAAAAATTCCACTTCCATGCTCTTAGGATCCTGGCTGGGCCTGAGAATTAAATGGACATAAGATAAACAGGAGAGAAGCAAGCAAATTTATTTAAGTTGTAGTGGCACAGGAGCCCTCATAAGAAAATGAAGACTCAAAGAAACAGAGTTAAGCACTCATATACTGAGTTGGGCAAAGAGTTAAGTTGTGAAGTGTGATAAGGCAGAGTGGCTCGGGCTAAGGCAGTGTCGGGCAGGAACCTCAGATCCTTCTGCCCCTTCCTGTGCAGGTGGTGAGTCGGGTAATTGAAAGAACATTCTGGCAGCTTTATGCAAGGCAGACATACTTTTATCTTTAGATACAAGCTTCTCAGACTTGAGCTCTCCGTACTCCACTGACCCTCCATGCTCTGCTGACCTTCCGTGCTCTGCTGACCAGCAGTTCAGAGCAGTTGTCTCTGTTATATTACAAGATATATATTGCACAATAGTGGCCACAAGCCAAGTGCATAACATAACTACAGCAAACGTGCTGAATCAATAAATGGGCACACATGCGCAGTTACACTACTCTATTATAACTTGCTTCTAATGAATGTGCTGAATCTTGCCCATTTGTAACAGATGTGAGGCGAGTGAGCCTGACTAAGCTGTTCTTTATTTTACACTGGTTTTACTTTCCTTACAGATAGTTAATTGGATGAAGTAATCAGGAAGATAAGGGTTAGTTTAACAAGGTTTGTTTCACGGATTTTTCTCAGCTCCAACTTTCCTTCTTGATAAGAATGTTATTTTATAGGGAAGACATCTTTCACATGGAACTTTCATCACCTGCTTTTAAGAAACAGAATGAAGGTCTAAATGATCTCATAACTGCTGTTTTTGTTTGTTTATGTTGTTTTTTAAAGTGCCTTTAATTCAAAATAGTCAATATGCCAGAGCAGTTTATTTTGGGGTGGTATATTCTTAACTCCTTCAAGCCTAGAAGCCCCAGACATACCTGGTTAGGTATCAGAATGGACAACCTTCTCAGCCAACGTTTGCCACGTGTGTGACACATTCACCTAAGATTTACTAAGTGCCTATTATTACCTTACTCTTACCTCATTTAATTCTGTGTCCCCCACGCAACTGCTCTTCTTGCCTCAGGCTCCTAAAGCTAAGGGATTCTACTAAGGTGACAGCTGAGCTAGGACTTGCTTAGGGACTCCTAGCCTGGTCCTCTTTCTTACTCTGCCACCTACTGGTGCGAAGCAGATGAGCCCTGAGATGTCGGGAAGGTCCAGGGTTGGGCCACTCATTTTCCTCCTCCCTTGGCAGTTCTTGGGTATCCACCTCCCCTTCGCTAAAGTACTGCAGCAGGCGAGCCTGAAACAGAAGCTGCCAAGTGAGAAGCTGCTAAAGGCCCATGCCTGACCACTGCCACAGGAGCGACAGGAAAAGGCTCGCTCTGCCTTCTCGCAACATTGAGGCGGCTGCTTGGGCAGCCCGTGCCCGTACTCAAGATGGCGGCGTCGGCGACACCCTGCCCTTCTCCAAAATGGCAACCGTCGGACCCGCCTCCCTGGGCGCCAGGGTCATGTGACACACACAATGGCTGAGCCCCAACTTCAGGCTTCCCAGCAACGCCGTGTGAAAGTCATGACGGCCGCCGCGGGTTCGGCGGGCCGTGCGGCGGTGTCCCTGTTGCTGTGTGCGCTGCTGGCGCCCGGGGGCGCGTACATACTCGACGACTCCGACGGGCTGGGCCGGGAGTTCGACGGCATCGGCGCGGTCAGCGGCGGCGGGGTGAGCGGCGAGCGGCCGACGACGGGGAGGCGCGGGGGGCGCTGGGAGCCCGCCCCGCTCTGTCCCGCCCCACAGGCCCCCGCGGCGTGCCCCCCGCT